CAATCTTGGTATTGGCTCAAAATTTCTTGTCTTGTCTTTATCTTTTTTTGAAATCAAGATAAGATCTTGAAATTTTCATGAACTTGGCGACCCCTAATTAAGAGAAATTATAGGCTTTAAAAATTATACTAGTAAATTGGTTACGTCAAAATATCAAAAAGTTTAGGTTTGATTTTCATACATCCAAAAAATTTCGGACGTTTTCTTAGAAAAAATAACGTGATGAATGTTTAAACGTGTTTATGTAACATTATCGTCCATCTAGACATTTTCCGAATTTGAAAATAATTTCCAGCGATTTCTCTTGGCCGATATATTTATTACAATTTTTTTTCCAAAGTTATACGATAAGTAGCTTCTGAAAAAGAGCCGGCGTCCATTCTTAGTTATTGGTCACCCTGTACATAGATTAATTTGTTCTACGTAATACGTTTTTTGACGTAAAGCTTTGACGCGCGATTTTTGTTTTTTGACGGGTCAATTAAATCCACGGTTGTTCCGATACCGATAACTTTTGAGTGTTTTATTATCAGCGAGTCACCAGCCGATAATAATTTTACGACCGACCGTCCGAACCGTGACGGTTGGTAGATAAATGCATATAATCGTTAATTGGCGCATGGGCTAGACTTAATTATTATTAACTTAATAAAACCTTGCAAATTTGTAGCAGGGTTGCCACCCGTCCCGATATTGTCGGGACAGTCCCGCTTTTGATCTAAAAGTCCCGCGTCCAGGTCAGTCAACTTTGCCCACCTTAGAGGAAATTCAAAAATTATTATACCACTATTTTGCACACATTTTGCACATTTTTGCACACTTACCTAAGAGAAACCGAAGTCGTTTTTTAAACGGGGGGCAAACTCGACCGTTCCCTCCATTTGTTACGAAATTGATTAATTTCTATGTACATCGATTCGGCTAATTTTGCACAATTTTGCACACCTATTTTTAAATTTTGCACACCCTCCTGGCGAAAGTTACAAAGGGTTAAAAATTTGAAATTTCCCCCTCATCTGTGACTAAATTGAATTTTGTTTATATCAAACGAATCGGATAATTTTGCACAATTTTGCACACCTGTTTTTGAATTTTGCACACCATCCTGATTAAAGTTATGAGGGTTTGAAGGTTTGCAATTTCCCCCATCAGCTACGAAATTCAATTTTGTTTATATCAAACGAATCGGCTAATTTTGCACAATTTTGCACAGCTATTTTCGAATTTTGCACACTCTCTTGACAAAAGTTGTAAGGGTTTTAATATTTGAAATTTGTCCCATTCATCATTCTAGAGCAAGTAAATTTTTTTATAAATATATATTTATAAAATATTTTTTTATAAATATACAGGGTGAGTTTTAAATAAGTGCAAATATTTTCAGGGCTGATAGATGATAGATCTCGACAAAAGAAATATATTTCTTCTGTGCCGTTTTTGAAATAAGTCCAAAATAACGGAGTTATTTTACTTTGAAAATTTCCAAAAAAAAATATTTTTTGCTTAAATTTTGAGAACTACTGAATCTTTTCTGGATTTTCTTTCTTGTAAATTTAATCTACTAGATATGTTACCATAATATCAAAAAATTATGTTTTTTAACCAAAAAGTAAAAAAAAATTGGAAAAAAATTCCAAACTTTCAAAAAAAAAATTCGCGAAGAAAACCTCATATTCGTGCTTCTGGGGTCGAAATATATTACCCCTAACTAACAACTCAGAGAAGATTTCGACAGACGACATACAAAAATGACAGAAAATGCGATTTACCTGCGAATTAAAATGACAGACACACTCATTGTCCTTATCAGGGATCTTACTATACCTCATTTTATTAAGTCTATGACCTTAAATTTTATGGGATAATAGAAAATATTTAAAATATCCATATTGCATGAAGGATAAAAATAGTTTTATATAAATCCTCATTATAGTACCTCCAATATTTGTTTATTATTCGTAATAAATAATCTCATTAAATTTACACATATATTCGTTATTTCATTTTATGCGGCAACAAAACATACATTGCAAAATATTTACCTTTACAAATAGATTAAATTTCTTGTTTATTTGTTAACTGTAATCAGTTGGGAACACCTCATTTATAAATTCCGTTTTGCAATTTATGATTAATACGAAAAACCATGATTTTTTGGAACTATTTTTTTATTGAAAAAGCGAAAAACCATATTAAAATTTAGATCGTAATGATGGTTTCATATTCACAGTTCTATAATTGGAAATATGATAATGCCATTGATTTTATAGTATACTATATGAACTTTCATATACTAACATAGGGTCAATGCATTGGTTCTCGGCCTTTTAACGGAAATTTTGACTTTGAAAGCAAATTAGATATGGAAGGAGATTTTAAATCATAATTTGTCCAATACAAAAAATGTTCGGTAGAGTGTTTTAATAATTATGGATTTTTTTTTAAATTTTTATTTTCAAAACTCTAGTAAAAAAAACAATAATAACCGAAAAAAGTGCTATTTTACTGGTTCTTGGCCACCACTCACAGTTCTCGGCCAATTTTGTATTGGTTCTCGGCCATGTAGGTATACCTAGAATATAGGATACCTTACTATGATTCTGCGTACCTAATTAAGAATCAATTAATTTATGAAGGTATCAATAAAAAAACTTTAATTAAAAAACTTATATGTATGTATGGCAGGAATATTAGTAATACAATAATAGCAATAGGCTCCTTAAAACCTAAATAAACGATAACAAATACGTAACTATAAACATTAGATACCGGTTAAATACCTATAACCATAGGTATCTGATTTTCTGAAGCTATTCTTTACAGAATTCTTAAATCTGTCAGATTTTGATAAAATTTCGTCAAACACGCTACAAAAATTAATTTTTGTCACCGAGCAATTTAGATTTTCGGGTTTGTTCTGCCACTTACAAACTGTTTTTTTCCATTCCGATTTCATCGGTTTGAAGACGCTAACGTCAGCAGGCTGGAGCATGTGGGTGATGTTAGGTGGAAGAGCAATTATTTCATTATTGTGGCACCACTCACTAATTGTCATAGTGAGATGGGATTTATGCCCATCCACAAACAGGATAACAGGCTTCGGAATATTTTCTGTAATCAGCCATTTGTTAAAATCATTATTGATAAACTCAAAAAATAAGTCAGATGTCATCCATCCTCTTTCTGACTTTCCTAACACCCAACCGCTCGGCATATTGGCAATGACAGCCCTGGGAAGTCGCACATGAAGTGGAGGAGCAAATTTTCCTTCGGCGTTGAACATTAATCGGGCTTCCTCAGAAGATCGGGTACTCTTCCTTTGATTCAATCCTGGATCGTCGCCCTTGGTACATTAAATCTTCGACTGGCCTCCCTTATTTTCATTTTGTTTACCCAGATCTCACGCAGAGCATTCTTGAGATCTTTCTCTGTGTATTGGTACATCCTCCTTTTAATCCTGGATACTTTAGGTCGTATCAAGACGGTTTTATTACCCTGGGTTTTATTTCTCCTAGTTTCCCTAGCCATTGAAAAAAATCAAAAGGATTAGAGTTGGTTAGCGGTCGAGAACCGAAATCTACAGTGATCTTGGTTGTCGGTACTATTTTTCATGGTGGCCGAGAAAGGCTAGTTCTCGGTCACTATTTTTAAACATAATTTTTGATCAAATTATATTTTATATTCGAATTAATTTAGCGGCCGCAATCTAATAATTAAAAAGCAATAATATAAGTAAATAAAAAAAATAACAAACACAAGACAAAATATGTTTTTTTATAGTTTTTTTTAAGATTGAAAAATAACTTTTTATACTGACTTTCGGCCATGTTGGCCGAGAACTAAAAGAGCGTGTTTTTTAATTACTGGTTTGCGGCCCCTGAAAATTTTAACTAAAAACCCAATTTTTGCTTAGTTTTGACATATATTTACATGTTTTTACCCTTCCCCCATCATATATTATACATTACAAGTACCTAGAGTAAAAAAATAATAAAATACTTACTATTTTGTAGCTTGACACTAGTAAGCACATTTACATTTGAAACACTACCTATGTTGTTCTGTTGCGTGTCCAAGAACTATGGCTTTTTCGCATGCTTATTAGTTGCAGCTCCATCTTAACCCCTACTACTTTCGATAGATAAATGATACATGAATCTATTTTACCATTTGGACTGGACAAACGGCGATTAAATTTACTAATATTTAGCTTTAAATCCTAAAAAGGCCGAGGACCAGTGCTGGCCGGATAACCAGTGCACTGACCCTACCAAATCTCGTTTTTTTATTTGAAAAAATTAAAAAGTTATAGAGGTGTGCCACTTTTGAGACGCACCCGGTATATTTCAACCAGTGCCGTCCATACGGGATTTACATTGAATCCTTACATGAAATCCTGAAATATTAGCATCTCATTGAGGAACACCCTGTATACAATAAGCTATTTTACAACAGGGAAGGATTATTTTGATGTACAATTAAACATAATATAAACATAATAAAAGTATTTTTATTCCTGCTAATTTTATGTTCTGTTTACAGTTTTTTTTTTCAAAAGTTACGTTGAAATGAGCAAAAACAAGACCAATACTGGTTTGGTTTTAATAGATTTTTACTAAAGGCACTTTCTACATACAAAGAACATCTTTAAATCAATAGTAGGTATTTTAGAGAAACTTTGAAGAAAGAAATTATGAAAATATTTGTCTGACAAACTTTTTTATTTTTCAATAAGTATATTAAGTAAACTGATATCAGCATTTCTTTCTTTACAATTTTATGCAATATTCCGAAAAACACTATTTGTAATAAATTAAAACAACAGTTTTGAACAAATAAATAATTTCATATAAACGTGACAAAAATGCAAGACCGCAAGACCAAGACCAGTCTCGTTCATCACTAGGTAGGTACTATAAGTAAATATAATCGTCAGTTTATTTATCAAAAATTATTTGCGTAATTTTTTTGGTAAAAATATTAAGCGTTATTTTTGTTACCTCTGTTTTGGTAATCCTGTGCCTGGCCAATTTGACGATGGCAAAATTCCCCTTGCCTATCGTCCGCTCTATGTCGTAGAACCCGACCCTGATCGGGTTTTTCGACGTTAATTTTTCTCTGTCGCCCATGACTGGCAGTGGGTCGCTTGAATGAAACAGGCCGTCGAATCGACGTAACTACTCGCGCGAACCGCAACCGGCACCAAATCGCATCTCTTATGATTTATTGCTAAAGGGTTCGATGTGTATTGCCATGGTGGTTATACCTGCGTTTCCGCGCCAGGCTCGCGACAAACTGCGCGCCGCTTCCGCCGCTCGCCGAGACTGCAACCGCGCTTGACTCTCGGACGCTCGTCAGCTGTTCCTGCGAGACGCTGTTGTCGGATTGGGCCAAGATAAAATCCTGAGAATCGACAGAATTTTCTTCGGCCTTTGTTCATCCCATTGACTAACAGGTTCTCGATAGTGTTAAAACTAACCCAAGAACTGTAAACTAATAGCACGGCATATAAATCACACGGCAGGCTAACTCCACAAAACACATACACAAGAAGAAGTGCGAGCGCCTTGCTAAATATTGGAAAGTGAAATTGACGTTTAAATTTGACACTGTTGACAAGTTTACTGCTACTAGCGCCCCCAATTTCGCTTGTAGGAACTACGGACTAAATTGTCACGCATGGCGGGAAGTTTAAAAAAATAAAAATTTTTATTTCTTCATTTATTTTTAATTATGACATACACAAAAACACAGAAAATACACCATTTTTTAAAAATATGTTTAATATCAATATCAAATATACAACAGAAATTAATTTCACCACAATAAATTAATAAAATTAAAAGAATAATGTTACAAGTAGATCAAGAGACAAAATTAATTATAACAAAACTGAAAAAAATGGCGTCATAGATGGCTTAGAAATAAAAGATATATCATAATTTTGAAAGTAAAATTATATGGGAAATGTCTTCGATCATCATTTTTAAGCCAACTGGACGATTATTTCAAACATACAAGCTGAGTTCGTTCATAGTGCTCTGAGAAATCTAGATAAACAAAGAATAATAAATTAAAAGTATTCCAGGGGAAAAGAGAGGAAAAACCTGTATCGTCTCTGATATCTGTCAGGGTATTGTTGAAAGTGTCATCTTTTTGCTCGAAGTTTTCAGGTCGATCAAAAAGATGACATTTACAACAATACTTTGCTGTAACTTTCACAAATATCAGAGAGAGTACATACAGGTATTGCCTCTCTTTTCCTCTGGGATGCTTTATATCTGTTGTTCTTTGTTTATCTATATTTCTCAGAGCATAATGCCGAACACGACTACAGTATATAATAATTTCAATATCCGAAGTGGAAAGAAAAAAGATCACCTTTCTGTTTTGTACTATGGTCCCTTTCTTCCGATGGCTCATCTCGTTGATATTTAGGAAGGATAAATAGGAAGGAAAATATAAAATTCAATTTGATTTGATGATCCTTTTCTGTCACCTAAAATCAGGAGAACGACAATGAGCATGTTAAGATGAAAAAAAAATTATCAACACTTACCTACACGTTAGTCCGAGGAGTTTTATTAAAAACCTATATATTTGCCTAAATAATTTATGTATTAAATTTGCAAAGCAAAATGCAGCGTGTAAACAAAAGAAATAAAATGGCGACAAGTCAACGTCAACGACCCGACAAGGAGAAAAGTGGTGTTCGAATAACAAATTATGGGTCACCAAAAATTGTTTTTGTCTCCTTTCAACGCACACTTTAGAAAGAAAAAGAGATGAACTGGAATTCTGAAAGAACGTCAAGTCTTTATCTGTCACTCTTGTCAATAATTTATCGGTAAAGAAGATTCCTAGAAAATCGCTTGTAGTCAAGTTTTCAACCATTTCCAGTTCTCCCATAAGAAGTGTCATTCACCTGGCTAACTCTGCCCAGATCCCATTGTTTTAAATTTCTATAAAATTTGACCTTGAAAACACCATTATGGGTGCCGAGTCAGGGCCGGATTAAAACGTATCAAAAAATTTCCCAGAAAATAAACTATTGATAGACAGGGTCGTATTAAAAAAATACTGTAATTGACTGAAACTAAATTTTATTTACACAATACTTTTATCTAAACAAATGAATCGTTAACCGCGCATAGTCCTCGAAAAGTAACAATGAAAAAATCAATTAAACATTTAACTCTAGAGAATAGACAATTAAAATTAAAAAACATGCCAGGAGTTACAAACAAGAATTAAAGAAATGCCCAATAAAATATCTATTGAACAATCTAAAGAGGCTACGTACAAATTATGTCCATCAATGGACATAGCAAATTTTGTTAATATTCATCATAATATAATAATAATATCATCAAGTGCAATTTATTTTATAATAGCGGTCGTGATAATATTGTAGGTTTTGAGGACCAGAAGGGGAACAGAGAGTTTAACTTGCTTTGTATGTATGTTTGTTCGGGGCAAATCTTTAGAAGCACTTCCTTTCATTGTAGGAAATTGAAATTTGGCATGTAGGTTCAGTCCCGATGACAATACATTTTCTTGCAAGGCATGACCCGAATTTTTGACAGCTGTCAAAAAAAGTTGTCCGATTTTGATAAAAATCGATATATTGGATGCTCCCTACCCCATAGTCGGTTTTCATTTTATTTGTCTCACATTTGAACTGTCAAATTTGACAGCTGTCGTTTTTTTAAGTTCTCCTTTTTTTAATGAAAATCAATATACATATTATTAGGATGCCCATAGGAATTTATTTAAGAAAAAGAATTGAGTTTAAGTGTGTGGCACTGAGCAGTATAACTAACCAGTATAACTAAAAAGTAAAAAATAAATTTAAGAAAAAAAACTTTTTAAAAACAAGGTTTTATTTAAATACAATAAAAAGAAAAAAAAAACTTTTATTATGGACTTATAACGTCATTACAGAATTTTATATTATATAAAAGCTTGTCGCGAGATGCGAGATTTGAGTGTACAGTTGCACTCATAAAAATCTGGTACGACAACTTTATCTTGTAATTCCTGTAATTCTTGTAATTCCAATATCTTGTAAACCTATCATTATTCCCATCCAGGATAAATTCATCCAGTTTAGAAGAATATTTAAAAAACTTTGTGTCCGAATATTACACACGGGTACTGAAAATTGCCAAAAAGATCTGGCAAACATCTTATTAAAAACGGCAGACCTTATTGTTTACGTCGGAATCCGTAACATTATTATAAAAAACAACGAGACCTCTGTTCTTTTCTCTCTGAATTGTCATGAGCTATCCATAAAAATTAAAAATAGATACGGATGATCAGAAAAACAGTAATTTAGAAATGAATCTTGTTTGTCATTTTGTAGGATACCTAATAATAAAAATTACTTTGAGTGCCGTAGGCAATGATTGAGTATTAAAACTAAAAAAACCTCGGACTTCAATTGTACTACTAAACTACAAAAACCAAATATATCACACACAATAAACAAAATATATCACTCAAGAAAAGAATGAAATAAATTAAGTCGCACGCTACTGACTTAAAGCTGCCGTAACTCTATGTTCTCGATGACAAAGACTACGACTGACTACGACACTGGTTAATTTCTGTTGCTGGCACCCATAATGGCGGCGTGCGCTAGAATATGCGCATAGCGTTCCCGCCAAAGCGAGTTGGCCTGCCGTGTGATTTATATGCCGTGCTAATAGGATTGCTCATCCTCATAAGACGTACGTTCGCCACTTCCCGCGCTTCAGCTGACTGTTGTGACGTCATTGTAGTCCTTGTCATAATAGTGTGTATTATTAGTTGCCTATGGTAAACTTATAAAAATAACAGCTGAGAAATTTTGAGTTAATTATTTTGTCAATTTTAAATGTGAAAAAGGTGTCTTTAAAGTTTTTAGAGCTATAGAGTGTATAAATACGTTCATTTTTTATTGTGGATTGTGACAAGATGCTTACTAAGTGCCTACGATATTGTTTATTAATTATTTTAGAGCAAAATATGGAAGTACTCTAAAAAGAATTCTTGCAAAAGGTGATGCTGGGAACTGCTGTTATTAAAAATACATTATCTGGGTATTTTATACGATTTATACAGTTAATTTTCTATACTGCATACATATAAGGTGTTTAAATAAATAAACTAAATAATAAACGTTTGGTATTCGGCAACCAATAATGCACGTGTATGTATTATTGGTTGCCGGATAAGGACTAATAACCATGACAAGGACTACAATGACGTCAGAAAGCGAGTAGTTTTCGCATGCACCTGGCGGACACTTTTGGCTGAATGAGCAGTCCTATTAGTTTTAGTTAAATAAATATGGCCCAAAATATGGATTCCACCTCTTCCAATATTAAAGAACCTATAAAGAGGCTTAAGTTTACAGCAGATGACGACTTAGCCCTTCTAAGAGAATTTGTTGCTTATTGCCCCTAAACCCACTGGCAGACGTTGAACAATAAAGCACTGGAAGTAAGCACTTTAGCCCTTTAGTTTTAAAATACCTAGTAAACAAAACAATTTCAAAGTTTTAAATTCAAAGTTAGGTTAAGTTTAAATAGCGGACGCGACGCGAACAGGATTCTTTCCGATCCGATAACTATAAATGAAGAGAGTTAATACCACATAACGTAAAGGAAATAACACCTGGCCTTATTAACGCCCATGCACGCTATTCGGTTTAGCGATATCTCTCTATTACGCTGTTTATTGTTATTTTACGCGAGTTTATTTTTGCGCACAGGAAATTTGACTCGTTTGCACATCGTCATAAAAAACAATTTTTGTACCACGAATTATGGACAAGATTTTTATCTGTATACTTATAGGATACTTAATCTATGGTACGGCTGTGCTCGACTTAGCGTGGACACTGCCGTTATATTATGCTCATTAAAGCTATATCAAAAGTCTCAGGGTGCAGCCACACTAACCTAAAAACGGCGTATCGGCGTAACGGCGTAACGACCTTGAATCGATTTCCAGTAATTCTATTGGCTGAAATTTTTGACAGATGAATTTGACAGATAAAATTTCTGACAGATGAATGTTTTAGCCAATAGAATTACTGGAAATCTATTCAAGGTCATTACGTCGTTACGCCGATACGCCGTTTTTAGGATAGTGTGGCTGCACCCTCAACAAACTTTTGTTTGTTGACCCCAAATACGTTTAAATAAAATATACGGGGGGTACCGCTTAAATTCCTGCCCGATATTGAAGGATGGCTATAGAATTTCAATGCATTTCCTACATAAGTCTATCCTTGTGTTGTAGGAGGTTTGACTAAACAAGGATGAACTTATGTCCTGAAACT